TTTGGGTTTCCTATCTCAAGTATAGGAAGAGCTGCGTGAACTGCTGGTGCCGCTGCAGGGTGCCGCTCCTGTGTGCGCTTGGGGCCGCTGCTGTGCGCTGGCGCCGTTGCTTCTGGCGCTGCCGGAAAAGTATTTTTGCTATCTGGGGTCTGTGCTGGCATAATTTCCCCAGATAGCGAAGCTATGGGGTTCTTACTTCAAATTAGTGACTGGTGCTGGGTGCCGGTGCTGGTGCTGGTGCTGTGAGCTGCTGGTGCCGGTGCTGGTGCTGGTGCTGTGAGCTGGCTGTGCACGTGGTGGAGGTGCTGGTGCTGGTGCTGTGAGTTGGCTGTGCACGTGGTGGAGACAGGTTGCTGGCGCCGGTGCTGGTGCTGGGTGCCAGGTGCCGGCGCTGGTGCTGTGAGCTGGCGGTGCACGTGGTGGAGACAGGTTGCTGGTGCTGGTGCCGGGTGCCGGTGCCGGTGCTGGCGCTGTCCACGTGGTGGAGACAGGTTGCTGGTGCCGGTGTTGCCGGGCGCCGGTGCTGGTGCTGGTGCTGTGAGCTGGCTGTGCACGTGGCGGAGACAGGTTGCTGGCGCTGGTGCCGGTGCTGGGTGCCGGTGCCGGGTGCTGGTGCGGGCTGTGGTGCTGCGCGCGTGGTGGAGACACGGTGCCGGCGCTGGGTGCTGGCAGTGCGCACGGTAGAGACAGCGGGCGCCGGTGCCGGTCCTGTGAGCTGGCAGTGTGCGTGGTGGAGACTGGGCACCGGTGCTGGGTGCTGGCTGTGCTTGGTGCTATACCGGTGCTGGGTGCTGGTGCTGGGCGCCGTATAAGCTAGCGCGCCGGTGCTCGGTGCTGGTGCCCGCTTCTGACAGTGAAGTGATAACAACCGCCGCTTCTGACAGTGAAGGGTATATAACAAACCGCCGCTTGCAGCAGTGAAGGGCGACCAAGCGCCGCTTCTGACAATGAAGTGCAAGCAGTCATGGGCCGCATGAACTTATGCGCGCAACATCATACGGTGTTGTCGCTTGAGCCTTTTTGTCTATTAGCGCTGTGGGGTATTTACACTGTTACACCCTTCAGGTTCTGTTTTGGCTGACAGCTGTGTCAAGGGCTGTACTGTTTGCGCGCATACTTTTGTACGTATACTGTTCTATGCGTCAGGCTCTCAACCGACCATTGTACCAGCATGTTTCAGCGTGCTACACACACAATAGTCGTGCTGGATACTGCTTGGCCTTGGGCGAGTGAAGCCTACGGGCTTTGCCGACTGTGCGCATACTTTTGCGCGTGTAAACTTATACGCGCAAGATCATACGGCCTTATCGTTCTGCAGATGGTTGCTTTAAGCATGCTACAAAGTCAATAGTGGCGCTGGATACTGCCTGGCCTTGGGCCAATGACACTTACGGGCTTTGCTGTTTGCGCGCGTACTTTTGTGCGCATAAACTTATACGCGCAAGATCGTACGTTGTTATTCCCCAAGTGGGGATAGCTATGGGGTTCTTGCTGCAAATAAGAAGGAGCTGGCTGCGCGCACTTTCGAAAAAGTGTCGGTGCTGGTGCTGGTGTTGTGGTCCTGGGTGCTGGTGCTGTGAGCTGGTTGAGCGCGCGTTTAAGACGGGCGGCGGCGCTGGTCGGGTGCTGGTGTCAGCTGATTGTGCGAGGTGTTGTAAGCTGGCTGCGCAGGCTGCGTACATTCTTGTTCCAACCAGTCGCATGTCAACAGGTCCTGGGATTCTGCCTAGCTATCTGGGTCTATGCTGGTGTAATTGCTTTCATTTAGCCATCTTCAGGTCTTGCATTCTACCGTCGGACTGAGCTTTTGGGGCGGTGTCTCGCCCAAGAACGGCCTAATCGTGGATCGACATCATCCCCTCTGTGGAGTTAGCTTGGAGGGGAAGATCTTGGCGATTCCTGCTGGAAGAGGCCGCGCGCAGTTGAGTGGTGACAGCTGTGACAACAGTCTCAAAATTGGAATGGATAAGCGCAAATGAGATGATGCTGTGGTGATTGTCGTCGGGCATGCGAGTCGGAGAATCGCTGGGATTTTGGGGAGTTCACACCTTGGGCTGGGTGCTTCTCCTTTTGCGTTCCTTAGATATTCTTCGCGTTTTTAGATGCTTAGAATGCCCTGGTGGTTTGGGAGGATCATGCACCGGCAGCCAAGTGATCTTGGAGCTTCTGCTGAATGGAGCGTCACCGGCTGCCATCGTCCTATGCCAGCCAGATGAAATCATCGCCCTGGGTGCCATCGTTGCAGAGGAACTCTTTGATCGTAAGCTCCCCGTGCTTTGCTTGGAGGCAAGAGCAGACCTGTGCGATTCTTGGAAACACTTTTGGTTTTTGGTTTATTGACCAGCCGACCAGTCTTTGATTGCTTATGAGGTCGTTGCCATGGTGAATGTGTGTCGCGTTTTGTTCGAAAAGTGGATTTGTGTCAACTGGTGCAGGAAGATGCCTTTCACAGTCTGAGCACCTGGCGCACTGCCTCGATCAACGGGAGCATGCTTTGGAGATCTGGAAATGAAAGCGTGGACACAAGAGAGGAGGAAGAGGCACCATCAGAGATGAACCAATTAACATTAACATACTATTAAACTATCAGCCAAGAATGGATCCTACAATCCATCCAAACCATTCCAAATCTGTGGTTGTGAGGTTGTGTGGGGAGATCGGAGTCTCCACGTGAAGAATGAATCTTATGGGATTTCAATGGATTTCATTGGGATTTCCATTGGGAGGTTTTGACTCTGGTTCATATGCACGGAGCTCGAAACACTCGTCATGGCAAGAAACAACAAAATCCAATATGTCATAATATGTATATATATATACATGGGATCGCAACACCAATAATTACATGTTGTTCAACATTTGAGGTTGTGATGTTCTGTGGGGAGATTGGAACGTTTTAGGAAATATTGTTGTCAGTTGTTGCCTGCATTTTCACACTTGGGCAGGAACAGATTGAGCTGAGCACCACAGACCAGCAGATGCTCAGTGGTTCAGAGGGTCTTGCGCGCCAAAAGGCGCTATCGATCGTCACGCGCATGGCTCGGCTGCAACGTGCAACTTCTCTCGTAGATGTGACTCAGGCTGGGCCGGGACTTGACTGCTTCCCTGCAAATTGACTCAAGATTGCAAGGGGCATGAGACCCAACATGACCCAATATGCCAATATGTTCCAATATTTATGATTATATAGGGTCGCAAGAGCAATAGTTGCATTAGCATGCCCGAGGCCCACATCGACGGTTGTACATACATTGGTCCTGCAAGTCTGCAATTTGCCCAAAAGCTCTTGGAGTGGGGTGCCACTGTGCGCGTGCCCACCACACTGAATGCCATCTCAGTGGATTTGGCCCGACTTCACGAAGTCTCGGAGGAGTTGGGTAGGCCTGCAGCATCTTTAGCGGAGGCTGGACCTGCTTCAAATTGATTGTTTGGAGGGTGCCAGGAGGCTGCTATCGGCATGTCCAAACCAGTTCTGGTTCTGAGACAGGGCGTGACATTCGAACATGCTTCCCTTGAATGCTTACAGTAATTATATATAGCCATAATTATATTGAATTTGACATATTGAGTGCGTGAAGAATCTGACGTGATTTGGAGGCCTACTTGAAAATGGGAGCCAAGGCCAGTTTCACTTGTGCTCCATACTTGCTGGAGACTGCACCAAAGAAGGGGGAACAGGTTGGCTGGGGAGAGTCCAATGCAGTGGTCTTCGCCAACAGTGTTTTGGGAGCACGCAACTTGGAGCGCTTTGAATCAAAGCAAACGGTGTCAGACATGACGTGTTAGGTAATCACACCAAAGTGCTGAAGCTAGTGTTTTCTTGCCCCTTTGTCCAGGTTTGTCAGGATTCTGTTCAGGTTAGGATCATTGTGTTGCGTAGACAACTGCCATGATGTATGCATGGATCTCTGAAAGACTTGTCCCCGATGGACCTGGAAGGATGGATTTCAGGTGGGCGCCACTGTCCCCTTTTTTTCTTGCTTTTTGGATGTGTCGCCAAAAGGTACCTAACCTGTTTTGTGTACTCGCTAGCTTGACATGAGAGATCATGAGAGGGTCTTTTGTTGGATTTGCAGCATAAGAATGCTAGCTTTCCCTTCCGACTGAGGTACGCAAAAGTATGCAGACTTCTTGGATGCTTGTGTGGCCATCACTGGGAGAGCACCCTTGGCAGGATGCCATGTGGACCGGAGTGCCGGGGTTGTACTCCATGTGAAGATGGATCTGAGCACCTCATTGAAAGAGAGCTTTTTGAGTGTTGATGGATCAGCAACCGATCAGTTCAGTTCTACAGTCTCAATGTTGCGGCCTCCAACCTAATGGCAATAGGCCGCTCCAACCTAATAGCAATGGCCTCCAACCTAGTAGCCACGGCCTGCAACCTAGTAGCCACGGCCTCCAACCTTGTAGCGATGGCCTCCAACCTAGGCTTGGATGTGTTTGACATTTATTGGCACAGCCTGAGGCAAAGTAGACGATGCTTTCTACCCGACCCTAGGGTACCTGTGCGGCCTCAAAGCTCCGCGCTTGATCCCAGCGGTTGTAGGGCTGGAAAGCTTGAGCCCCACCAGAGATGATCTCAAGGCCATGCTTCTCAGAGCTTTGTTGGCTGATTATGCTTCACCAGAAGGCAACACATTTCTCATCGAAATCGTTTGCATGCATGCCTGTGATTGATTGCAGTGCCAGGTCCGAGGATCTTGAAATATATGGCGAAACGACATCGACACAGGGTACAATGTGCATACACATTATTCATTATGTATAGAAGGATAAAGAAGGATATAGAAGGTATGATTTGCTGCCGCATTTGCACACCGGAACCCATTTCAGCAAATACACAGTGAGGGGCTCGCCAAACACAATTCTCAGATTTGCTACGACTTTGTGAAAGAAGATCTCCCATGCACACAAGCGCCGGCTGTAGCCCATGTGAGCGCGGTGCAGCGAAGCACTTTGTGCCATTTCATGCAACAAAAGAGCGAACGGACATGAGCAAATAGTTGAAACACCTAATTTTAAATAGTAATTATTAGCAAGTGCATCGCTACTAGTAACAAGCGCATTACTACTAGTAACAAGAAGCTACTAGGTTAATATTAAATAGTTGAAAGGTTGTGTCCAGCTGTGCCGTAAAGCGGCCAGATTCGCACCTCAGAAGTGGCATATTCACCGACGGCAGGCTTTCAGTGCCGCATTTGGTACCAGCTCCTCTGCGGCCATGTTCCATTTGGTTGGTCTCACTCCCGAGGCTGTACACTACCTTACCGCAGCGATGTAGGGGACGTAGAAGAAAGCTGTGGCATGCTGTGGCAATGTTTTAGATTAAAATTTAATCATTAAATCTGATTTTAGACCATCTACCGTTCTCGCAGGCTCCAGATTTGCAAAGTGTTCTTGACGATGATGTTCAGGCGTGACTGGGCGATTCTTCGATTCTTGACCGTTGCATCATCCAATGAGGCACCGTGAAATGTGCTGTTCATGTTTGTGAGGTAATCAACCTGGAGAAGGAGGACTTCTTGGAGGTTTGGAAAGATCTAGCGCCCCAGCTGCCTTTGCTGCTCCGTATTTTCGGGTTTCATCCTATGTTATAAGGAAAAGCTCACTGACTCCAAGCTAGTGGAACGTCACATAACGATCGAAATCAACAAGCAATCCGTCACATAGCATTCGTTCTTGCAATGTTACTGACGTACGCTGAGGATGCTGACAGCCCTTGCGATGTGGAATCTTGGTATTTTTGAGGATTTAATTTGATTTTGACGCCTTGTAGCGTTTGCTTAATAGACCTGGACCTGGATAATATGACAATATACCCGTAAGTTCGGCCTCTAATTCTGAAGGAAAGCTACTGGCAGCCTTGTGTCAATTCCTGATGGAGATAGGCAGATACGAGTTTGATATGGTGGGGTGCAGCCGCGCATAGGGCTGAGCCACAGGGCCGAGCATCATATTGGACGCAAAAGGCATGCATTCGACCAAAAACGACTGCTTTCTTACGGTCTCGGTCACGATCATAATGACTTCACTCGCAACTGCTTCCCAAGGATTTGGTCTCCTTGGGCAATCCTCATTTCTCCTTAGAGGAACATCAACGCATGGCTGAGTTGTGCCGTGGTCGCCAGAAGCACCCAGACGTTCAGGTGGTAGTGACCTCCGGGCCTCAGGCATGATTCGTCCGTTCGGCCCATTCCGTTTTGGTACGGCCAGCCAGCATGTGTCCTCCATCATGTTTGTTTATTTCTATTTATTTCTTGGAAACTGTTGTTGATTTGGCTTGGAGGTCTTGGAGAAGTCTCGACGTCTTGGCTTTGGCACCGAGCTGGAGGCCTTTGGTGCTCAGCTGGTGAGCGACACCTGCTGGTGTATGCTGGGTGAGGTGCAAGCCGGGGAAAAAAGGGAACCTACCTTCCAACTGAAGTCTAGAAGTTGTTTGGGCTGTTTTTGGGTCGTCATGCCATTGCACTGCATTTTGTTGAAACATGAGACGATGTTGTTTATACTTTACACAAGGTTTTCTTGCTTGCTTTTTGAGCAACATGTCTTAGCATGTCTTACTTTTGGCGTATTCTTTAAAGCGTGGAGAAGATAACGGCTCCAGGAGCCGGAGAATTGCCCAAAGACTAATTCGCAGTTTCAGATAGCGCCCAAGTTTTTTTAACACAATAAACCAATAAACACTTGTGTGTCTTCACATTCTCAAATTCCCCCAACAGTTACTGTACTGTTGGGGTGGTCTATTTTCAAAAATGAACACTGGCCACAATCTCTGGCCCCGCCCCTGAACCCTGTGCGCGGGCGAGGTCCTTTTGTTGCCCTCTTCTTGTCCTCCAGTTCTGTTTTGTGGCCGCGCATGCGAACCCTGGCCACCACTATAGCAGCGTAGCACAGCGTTCCCATGAAACCATCTGAAGTCCTACAACATTTAGCGCAGCGAAGCCGCGAGCCCCCACCAACCAGGTGGACCATTGATGATGTGGACTCTATTCTTCCCGGAAAGAATCAAAAATACTTGGTATTTGAAAGCCAACGAATAAAAAAGTCTTGGCTGGAGTAAGTTTAGGTGGCTAGCAGTAAGGTGTGGCAAGCAAACTACTACCCAAGATGAGCTCAGGTTTCTAAGGGGAGCTTACCGGGAGCTTCCTTGAAGAACCGATTCCTAGATTTGTGAGAAAACTTAAGACATGGATATTTCTTTGAAACAGCCGAATCCTTACGCCGAATCAGAGGTTGATTGCAACCCTTTTTTTAAATGATGCAGGAGGGTTCACGATTCACGATTGTGACCGCCATTCACGGGGGGGTCCGGCCTCAGTTGCGGCATTATGCTGCGATCGTGAAGCAACGCTGTTTGTTAGGCCTCTTTCTTGGGCCCAACGTCCACAATGCAAGAAAACAACTAAGAAGAAGTATACAATGTTTTTCCCCAAACAGTATTTACTTAGGAAAAACAAAGGCTGGCCACGATAGCCGTTGTCGCGCCGTCCGCCCTTTCTTCACCGCCTTGCCAAGGCCTTGTCCAAGCCTTGCCTGGGTCTGTGTGTACTGCTTGGCCGCGCCCTGGTCCGTGTGCTATGGGCCTTTCTGCTTGTGAGTGCTTTGTCCAGGCCTTGTCTGGGTTTGTTTGTCCCCGTGTTGTTGGCCCTTTTTTCCTTGCCTTGTCCGGCCTTGTCCCCTGCTCGGCCACAGAGCTTTCCCTTGCTCCACTGCCTTGTCCGGGTATGTTTTCGTCTGGCCATGAATGCATCAGTGATGCGTTTCAATTTTGATATCAGAATCATCCTCGGCTCACGACTTTTATCCACTCGTTTTTGCACATGTGACCTGGGAATCAGGAACTATTGTTTTCAACATTTTTCAACCATTTTTGTTTACAGTCATGCCGTTGAAGTTATAGGAATATAATCACAGACATTTATCAACATTGGAATTCAAGGGGCTGACGCCAAAAATATAGCTGAAACTGTTTGGGGTCTATGCTGGCATAATTTAGCCTTTCTTGTTTCAGTGGTAGTTGATGGTTCTTGCTTGCCGCGTTGCCGGACGATCATGGTCCAGGTTGTGCCTGCTCCAAGCTCTATCTTACCGCCCCAGAGTCGAACGTTGATCACCAACTCGGCGAAGTATGCACATTATGCACCAGGCACCACCAGCTTCAGTGATCAAACATCAGAGTGCATTTCGTTGCGTTCCTCCATGCCGTTGATGACAACCTGTCACTTCGATGTATTTCGACTCAACATTCCAATGCCACACTGGTTCTGATCTCCCTTGAGGCCTGGTCAACCGGCGCGTGCGTTTTGGCTCACTGGCCAGTTGCATTGATGCAGCTTGTGACCGCGTCGTACGGAATCAGCCGCCGTGGCTGCCAGGTGGGGCCCACATGGTGGGGGTGTGGCCATGTTCCCTCCAGGGTTGGACGCTGAAAGAAATGGTATGCATGTGACAGTTTGAGGTTTTGGAGCAGCTTGTGTTCGATTGGAGAGCTTCACTTTTCCAGTTACATCCATAAGTCCATAAATGTCAGCCTTTGTGAGTTCCAGCTTTCAATTTTGTTAACAATTCAAGAGACATGACTGCTCACGCAAGGCTTGCAAGCACGGGGATCTTCTACCTTGGCCACTGGACACAAAGCTTTGTCCAGAATGGCTGTGAGAATGCTACGGCACATGGGATAAATGGCGACAAGGTTTTTCAATCAATCCTTAGAATGCGTCATGCGATGAAGAAGCTTGTAAGTTTAGTTCTTTTTGCCAGTTGGGTCTCCTGCAGTGGTTCGAAACTTTTCTTTCTATGCATAGTGACTTAGTGGTTGCTGAAAGGTCTAAAGTGCTACAATGCCGAGTCAGAGGAGTAAGCTCGGGCCCCATGTTTAATCTCTTTTTAACTGCTGCAAATGTGGCTCAAGCAACGTTTGGCGATGAACACCCACTGGAAATTTCCTAGCATGTTTATATTTCTCGGTCAACAGTTTATTGAGTTTGTTGTTCACGCGAAGCCTGGGTGTAGGCGAGGGAGGAGCGCTGATTTTGCAAAGAGGGACAAATCAAAATGGAATCGCGAGCAGCCTGGGTCCGACGTCTGTTTCTCTCTCTCGTTTCATCTCCAATCGAAGATCTTTCTCGTTTTCATTCGACATGCCATGGGGGGCGGCAGGAGTCTTTCGCAAGTTGGCGCTGCGTGATGCATTGGAAAAGAGGCTCTGGCTTGTGTCCCGGCCGAGAGAGTGGAGCCGCTGGAGTTTGAGCCTAGGAAGGCCTAGGATGGTCGGTCGGTGAGTCGAGTGAACTGTAGGATGAAGGAAGCCTGATCACAACGAAAGAACATGTACTGTAAGGTCTTCGTTCTTGGGAAGGCTGAATTAAGGCACCTTGCTACTACTATATAGCTAGCTAATGGTAGTAATCCCCTTGTTACTAGTAGCTTCTTGTTACTACTAGTAAGGCACCTTGCTACTAGTAGCTTCTAGCATCTTCTAGCTACTCTTTCGACCTTACTACCCCATCGACCACTGGAGCACCTCTTAAACCTGGTAAGCAAAGTACTTGATGGATTCAAGTCCCTGCCGGTCTCTCCAGCCCCTCGATCTCCTTCTTTCTTTCTTTCGTTCTTTCTTTAGTTATTAGTATTTTTGCTTTGTTCATCTTTCCTATTTTTTTTTCGTTTTGATTTACTCTTTTCAGTCACTAGTTGTCACTAGCGTTTCTCAAGAAATCCTTGAAGATGAGGTAGCTGCTGTTTTTGCTCTACTGTTTCTTATCGTCTTCCTGAAGCCATCCTCGGAGAAGGCTTGGCACCTTGGAGTGCCTTCTGATTCCAGACCAATTGAGTCTTGTTCTGGGCTTCCGACAGCAATCCAGCTTATTTTAAAGCTTTTCACCTACCACTGGACATTGGACTGCTAAGCCAAACACAAAAAGACTGTAAGCATGGAACCAACCCTTTTGGGTGCAATCTGGTAGGCTCAGCGGCGGCAGCAGCAGAAGCTCGCGAAAGCACGTGGAAAGAGTGAGGCTTGCCAACGACTATTCTAGTACCATTTCACGATGCCAAGATTGCAAAGACTGGTACTCTAAACTCCAGATATGCTAATATGTATATACATATAACTACACATCTATATATATATATATATGTATATGTAAAGTACATGCTGTCGTTTTTGAGTGCTCGGCAGAGGTCAAGCGCCCGCCTCGACCGGGTGGGCTTCTGAACTTTGATGGGCCAAAAGCCAAGTCTCGCAGGTGAACCGAACACCGAAGGCTTGCCATGCGGAAGACCATGTCCTTGAAGGAAGACTTGCAGGATTCCACAGGTGCCGAACTCCCAGGTCCAAGCTTTTTTGAGGCCCTCGAGGCTCCGGAGGCCGCTGATGAAAAATACCTCTTTGTGAACTAGAAGTACCAGGTCTGAGGCAAGTCCCATGAAGACCATGGCTGCGGATTGGGAAGAGTTTCGGAGAAAAAAGCATCCTATCTCATCGATATCGCCTTGTGTATTTGCGACTTTCATGCAGCTTACTCGTCAAAGGCTTGTTGTTTAAAACACTTGTGTTTGACATCCAGTTGGCCTAATACCTCTGTGTCGTTCAAATTTGGCTCTGTGACTGGCCCAATCCTCCAGATTGCTGAGGCAGCGTACTGGCATTCTCATGTCCAATCTATTTACAGTAATTTGCATGTACAAACGCCAAAGGTCTTTGCTTCAAAGTTGATCTTTTTCGCTGGGAAAGCATATCACTGAATTAGTGACACTTGTGCAGGTTGTTGGGTGATGGAGCGCCAAGAGCAGGCTTTGTCACGGCAGTTTGACGTTGAATAGAATTAACTCAGCGGAAGAGAAGCATCTGGTAGCTGTTTGGGTTGCAGTAGTGTTTTAACGTTCACATCTCCTTTTGCTAGGATAGAGGCTGCCGCTGTCTTGGGCCTCTCCGGCTTGTTTGTGACGATGTGAAGCAGTCTAAATGAGGGCAAGAGGGAAGACAAGAGGGTAATAAGTAGCCATGCACTTGTTACTAGTAGCTTCTTGTTACTAGTAGTTCGGCCAGAAGCTACTGGTAACTAGTAGCTTCTTGTTCCCAGTAGCGATGCCCTTGTTACTAGTAGCGATGCACTTGTTACTGGTAAGAAAGTTCTCGTATCTCGGCCCACTTTGAAGTTCCCTCCTCGACTGCCAGGCCCCACCGTTCGCTGAGACTGAAGCGATGGATCCAAAGACGCTTGCGGTCTACGCAGCCGATCCCTTCGCCAGGACCGGGTATATGTGAGGAAGCAAACACTAACAAATTGGTCGAGAAGAAACAGGCGCGATGAACGCAGATTCTAGGCTCTCAAAAGTCATTCCAATCGACCCAATGAAAGCCTCGTGTCTTAAATCACACAACTCATGGTCCTTTGTGGATCTCCTGGTGTTTCCAAGGAGTTATTTTGACAATCTACATCGTTGTTGGTTGCAGTTTCCTACTGTCTCAAACTCAGTTGTGGTGGGCAACCAAGGGTCGGAAACACAACTTCAAGTCTATTTGTAGACCTGAACATGGCTGAGGATAGGGGTAGTGCTGCACTTTACCTATCAGGCAGAGCCTCCTTACTTTGCAAAAAGCAACTGTAAACACTATGATGAACACAAATGATGTGTTGAGCAGCTTTGCCATGGTTTGACCATTTTACAGGCAGTCGTGGAATTGCGCCACGACTACACCGACGAGATAGAAGACAGCAATGGTGTAGGCCTTCAGCAGTAGGATCTGTGATTGCTTTGACAGGGTCAGATCTTCTCAATGAGCAGAAGGTTGAGCATCAATGACGCAACATGTTGACCCTGCCAGTCTCCTTCGAGATAACGGTGGATCGGGATATGGAGAGACCTATTTGGGCGGGTTGCTCAATCTGAGTTTGCTCTGCCGGCCAAGTAGAGCACAGCTTCTTTATCCGAGGTCTTCTATGAGCTATCCGGATTTCACCAGAATCACCGGCTGTATGTGGCGAGTAGGGTGGTGGCCTCAGCTCAACAGAAGCACACGAAGCTCAACCTTGACATCAGAGTCAGAGTAGTGTTTTTTGAGATGATGAAAAGAAGATGAAGAGGGAACTCCTTCAATGCTCGGTAGGCTGCTTTTCTGACACAGGTGCGTTGGCGTAGCCTGTAGGCGGAGGCTCTTATATAAGTTGTTTGCGTAAGGTTGTTGTGCAATTAGGTTGTTTTTGGAGTGCATGTTCTTGAGAAGACCTTGTTCACGCATGTCGGGTAGCTAGTAAGTGGGCCACCTCCCGTGAAGCCAGAGAACATGAATGATGCACTAGGCCAGTCACTAGGCCCATGGACCACACACATGGAGAGGAAGCGAGATGCTGCTCTCGAATCTATCCATGCTGCTGGATTAGTTCACATGCTGTTTGAGACAATCCACAGTAATGAACGGTCCAGTTCCTTGACTTACAAAAGGCAATTTTTTGTTCTTGGCCCCGCGCAGGCTCAGTGTAGGCCCCGCGTAGGCCTGCGCGTAGGAACAGGACTTCATGTTCAACCAATAGCCCACCCCTCCAACCTTGGTTAAGGCCCAAGTGCCTTGGTGGTTTGATTGGTAGCTCACAGTATGCTGTCACTGCTGCCGGCTTGGTGCTTTCCATTGCAAAAGAGCTTTGTTCTTGGTGTTTGGTAATGTGCGGGGAACCAGGATTTAATGTTTAACCTCAAGCTCATCGTCATCTTTATGGACCATTTTGGCGGCTGAGTAGAAACAAAGAACAAATGGAAACACATGTAATAGGCATTGCTATTTGCTCCCCATGGCACTTGCTCGCGTAGGCGCCCCCTCGTCGTAGGCCCCACTTAAAGAAAAACTCACACGTGGGCATCCTTCTGCATGGTGTAGGCTATGTGCAGGCTGGTGAGTAGGAGCGTGTGCAGTGTAAATTCAAAGCTCCAAGCACCAAAAAAATCAACAAACTACTCAGTTGGGTTCATGTGGTTTCTTGCCGCCATCAACAGTGAAAGACCGCCTGGCAGGACGACATGCAGCTCATGCAAACTGAGTATGCAGCGGTTGCAATGGTAGACGACTTAAAGGCCAGCGCAAGCAGTGGTAGTGAGTTGCGGCTTAAGTATATTTACTTATACAATATAGTAATATAGTGGATTGAATATACACAATTGTTTGTGAATGGCTTGAAAGTGAGCTCCAATCGTTGCCTTGAACCATTCAAACATCATGACTTTGATGATCCGAGCTTGACATGCGGACAGGATTGTCATCCGAAAATAGAAACGGATGGCCGAGGCGCAATCTTGAAACCGCACAGCTGCAGGTTGTTTCATTGAGCATCTGCACTGGAGTGTAGGGCTGTTTATGCTTGATATGCCGCTCAAGCAAGTAAAATTCTTTGTCCATTTTGGAGTGTTTCCCTAGACTTCCAAAACGTTGCTCCCTTGATTTGTTTCCGAATTCAGGTTTGCCGGCATCTCATATCCCGCCAGGAATCGACTACCCTTGTGGTTTGGTAGCTTCTACAGCCTGCGTCCCATTCTTCGAGAGTGAACTGCATTTTCGATTCATCCCAAGAAACACATTGGCCGACCAATGTATTTGGATATATAATGCATATGCACAGCCCCCCTGCCAGACCCGCCTGAAAGACATTTGCGGTTCAAGTGATTTACGAATGATGGGTTGAT